TTGACCAACTGGTCAAATTGGTCAAACTGGTCTGGTCAAGCTTGACCATTGACCGGTCCATGCCAACTCTGATTATATAGTACAGTCAGACCTCCTTAAATGCATATTCCCTAAATGCATAGTCTATGAAAGACCTCTCTAAATGCATGACCTTGTTTGTCCCCAACTCATATGACACTTATAGATTTTTATCTCCCTAAATGCAATACCTCTCTAAATGCAATATTTTTTGGCCGCCCATGGCTATGCATTTAGAGAGGTCTGACTGTATATAGATTGGTTATACGTAGGTTTAGATAGCAACTTAATAAAATTGCAACTTTAAAATCTGTCATATAGGGTTGTGATTTAAAAACTTTTTTTAAACGAAATTGGATCACTTTCAATATAGATAACCCTACTCTATAATCAATTAATTAATAATACATTTTGTTAATTGGGATGCCTATACTAAAAGAGATCCAATAAATAATTTGTATAAAAGTTTATTATGGTTTTAATTCTGAAATATTACTACAACAACTATAATAAGAATTATTTGACTTAAAACTCTTGTAACTGATTTGTCTTGATGGTTCTGGCTTTTTTGGAATTGACACATTATTGTTAAAAGAAACAACATGTTCATCATAATTTTCTTTATGCATTGCTTCGTCTCCACTATAATTCACTTTAAATTCATCTATGGAATCGTCGTTAAATTTACTTCCTTGTAAAGTTGGATCAGATGACATTACAGTAGTTTTTGAATTAATAGAATCCGAAGATTGTTTGTTGCGAACAGTAGGAAGATATTTACAACCATTTAACGCTTTTATTATAATTCCCAGATCCATTTTTTTATCAAGATTTGATAGCGAGTCACCATTATCAAGGGTGGAAGACGTTGTTGATATATAGGCAGTTGTTGGACCATTTGGAGTTGGGTTATATGTGCTATTTTTATTTTACGTAAAAAACCAGTAAATTTAGTAAAATTATAAATGACAAGTTGATAAAAATTTAAAGTTCATGAAAAACTTACTTGTAAATAAAAACGGCTTGAGTGATTGAAAGTAGAATGGGAAAAGGAAAATACCAAATAATTAAATAGAATATGTCAATTTCAGAAATGAATATTGTGATGTTATGTTGGAATAATCCATATGCGAAAGCCATTATAGTGTATGATCCATTTGTTATTACGAACGTTGCTGCAATTACGGACAACTGTTGAATTATAGAAGAACAATAAATAAATAAATAAATGTATGTATAAAAATATAAATAAATATATATGTATATATACACTTTTTTTTTTCTTTTTAGTTAGCCTACATTCTTGGTAGCCCTTGCAATCATCTTTAATTTCCATTCAACATCATAATCACCAGATCGTTGTCTTTCTTTTAACTCTCTCATGTACACTCGCAGTATTAAGCATAATTTATACCAGAAATAAACGACAATTATCACATAGAAGCAACTCCAAACAGACCAAATCAAATAGTGAATTTTAAAAAATTTATTTGCTAACAAAGTCGCATTTTCCCTGATAAGAATTGAATCATTTGTTTCAGGTAGGAAAGAGCCTGAAGATGATAATGGAGGAGCGCCACGATCAGCGTAAAAACCCGTCAAGTAGGCAATTGGAAGCATTGTTATGAAAGGACCGAATATTAAAGTGAAACCTATGCTATCGATAAAATATTTACTAGGAGTCCATCTTATCGTGCGAGTGCCTATTGTCGGAGTTGAATATACTTTTTTGCAGGATAATAGTTATATATATGTATGCGTATGAAATATATATGCTAAGAATCACGAAATAAAATTTTATTTTAAATCATTGTAGTTGAAATAAGAAGAAATATATACCAATGCTAACTGGCAACAATACGGCTAACCCAAATCCAATCATCCGTGGAACATCTTGTCCAACTATTCAGTAAACAAGTTAATACATACGTGAAGTAAAAATTTTGATTTTTTTTCAAATACATACTCTCAGCTGTTATAGTATTTGGATACATCGATGTTATTATTAAAATAGTGTGAATAGTTTGAACTATTCCAAATGGAACGCGTACAATGTTATTTATTTTGCAAAAACTTGAGCGGTAGAAAATTTTGTGAAACAACATTAACATCATGGAAGATGAAAGAAAATGCTTACAAGATCCATAAACAACCGTAATGATGTGAAAAGCATCTTGAGGCCTAGGCCTTAGAATACCTCTATTCCGCGTAGGAGCAAACCATACGGGCTGTTTTCTTATAAAAGTCCTCGAATATATAAAACATCCACTAACCAAGATGTTTAAAATAGTAGCTACCAACAAAACATAATGTATATTAAGAATGGTTTTTGATTCTGGGCATCCATATGCATTGATACGAAAATCGCATATACAATCGGTTGGATGTAGAGTTAATGTTAAGGAAAAGGTATTAGATACATTAGTATCTCCAAAAGTGAGGGCATCAAGAGCAGGTTGATCTTCTGAACATACTAATGCAAAGTTGTTTATTAATCGTATCATTATATAATGTCAATGAATGTAAAAGAAATCGGATAATAAAAGAATATAAATTGATGTTAAGCACTCTAGTTTATATTATTAAATAAATCATGGCTTAATTTTGAACCTTGAGAAGTAAAATGATTTAAAAGAAACTAAAAAATATATAATAAATTGTGAGTGTAAAAAAAAAAAACCACATTAAAGAAAAGACCACTATGTGATAAATAGCTTACGTTTAAAAAAAATATTAGGTAATAATATTTGCACATGAGATTCTTCACAATTGTTAAGGAGCGTGGGGTAGAAGCTTCCTATTCGTTAAATGCGTTATAATGATTCTTTTTCCGTAATTGAATTTTTTCCGATTCAAAGCCATATTTCCGAGTAGAGTAAATTATTATTCTTCTTGTTGTCATGCAATTACCTAATCGGTTCTTGTTTAACGTAAACACTTGTAGCACATTACGTAAATTCTTTCAAAGAATGTTACTACATTTAACTTTCTCATGTAGAATTCTTTACATAACTGTACATGCGCAAAACCTCGTTTGTTAACAAACGTAACAATCGGGACGATTACTATGATTCACAGAACATCAAAATTAGAATTACATAATGATAACAATAACACAAATGATCAATTCTGGAATGGAATTAATTTATGAATTCGAGATTTTCTTCTTACAATGTTAATAGATTAAAAGAGGAATAACAACATCACTGTTTATTGCCTTCTGAAAAGTCAGAGGATAATCTTTACTCGAACGTGAATCTATGTGCATTTTAAAATCTGCCAAATTACGTGAAAAGTTTTTTGTGCATGATTTAGACCGATAACGATAATACTATTATTTCTAATTGTTTCTAAATCTATAAGATCTAATAATCATTATATATAGTAACCCCTAGTATGTACATATACAATTGTGCATGATCTCTTTGCTCCATCTTAGTGCTAATCCACATAATAATACTGATACTGATACTTTCTAAATTTATGAAACAAATAGGTCACAGGTACCTTCTATTCATCCACAATGTGAATTTGGTTCGCCTGGAAGTTGCTATTATTGATAAAGGAAAACTGTATAAAAGAATTATTGGTCAATATAAAGAAAATATATAATTATGTATTAATTTATTTAATCTATTACTATACTATATATTTAATTGAACATTCTGATTTGCTATTATAAAGATCACTCTACGTATTGCTATATTGTTACTTATATTTTAGGAAAATTTTAAATAGCATATCGTGCACGATTATTTTTACTATATATATCTTCAGGCTAAGTTGATTTTAGGAAAAAAAAATCAAATTTTTTTTATTAGAATATGAAATGATTTTTCAATTTACAACCGATTTTTTATTTTTATCTTCGTGTTAGCGGTATGTTATCAGCTGCACTATAATCTATTAATGTATGTACATAAATTATTATCCCATTTTTCTGATAACCATTATTATTTTAACTTTACCAGAGACTAAACCTAGAATACTGTATATATGTTATAAGTGGAAACGGAATTTAAGTGGGTTCGGAATTTTTACATAAAACCATCATTTCGGGGTTGATTTTATAATATGAACACCCTTACCCTAACCCTAGTTTAACTAGGAAATTCCAAATCTACTTAAATTCCGTTTCCACTTACAACACATATAAATGCGTTGAAAGGTTGAGAATTACCATCGGACAGTGTATTCCACTATATATCATTCTTTTTTAAAGACACGTATATTAGTGCAACATTCAAATTTTTTTTAAATCGGTTTCAATAAATGCCAAAGTTCCAACATAGATGCTGCCTTTTTTTTAGACCTTCAAATGACGGCAAACATTATGTAATTTATGTTCAACAAGATGCCTCTTTTTAGACTTTCAAATGACAGCAAACTTCAGTGTAACTTATGTTCTTCCGGATCACAGCCGATAATCAAAGAAAAAGTAAGAAACGACTCTATTAAGGATGCCAAACTAAAGAAAAAAATAACAAATATTAAATTATATACTTCAAAAACACTAACAATATTATTAATATTATACATATTACAGTTAATACAATTATCAAAAAACTCAAAAAAAACATTACAAAATATAAATACAATAATAACTAACATTAAAGCATTTTTAAACATTTTTTATTTATAACTTAAACTTCAAAAACATTCTTATCAAAATATAAACTAAAACAGTAAACAAAATAATAAACAAAATAGAAAAAAACAATTTAGTCAAAACTATATTACACAAAATTACAAAAATATATATGAAGTCCAAATAAGAATACTTACAATAACAACTTTCAAGATAAACAAAAAAATCCGACAAACCCAAAAATAATAAACTATAATAGAAAAATTTTTACAAACTCAATAGTAAAAGAATAAATAAATCTATGATCTCAAAATTTTATTAAAAGCAACAACTTACCAACAACTATTATTATATTAAATGTTTTTAAAAAATATATAATATAATATAAATTGTCTTTGTAATATTACTTAAGGGTAGAGTATACATAGATCATTTTTTATATGATCTTTGTGGTACAATATAATTTTTATAAAAAATAAAGTTTTGCTACTAATAAAACTTTTTACTA